TGCCAAGCGGGCACTTCTGATGTCTCTGGCAATAGATCCTCTTTCAGCTGGCATCTAAGTCAGACCAGATGATAGTAACTTCATCAGCAAAGAATTCAGAAATTGATAGCTGCAGGATATTGAATTCTCATCTTCCAGGGGGTCAGATCTAGAAGGTAACACTCCTCAGAGCGTCTTAAGAAGCTCCATTTGGTGAGGTTCTGTTGGTGCTGCGGTGGCAAATAGGAATGCTTTCTTCATTGACATCACCAGAACCTCATAGATCTGTAAATGGGCACACTGGCATGTTTGATCTGTGTCCCATCAGCAACACTCACACAGTCTTCCAAAACGCTTCATGTATTTTAGCTCCCTGGAACAGCCCAGGACTGAAGAAGGAAACACAGGAAATGAATTCAGTCCTTGGCACTCTCTTTTGTGGTAGGGGTGGCCCTATAGATTACTCAGACACAATACAAGGTGGATGGATACCTCCTAGTGAGCGCGTGCGCGGGCGCGTGTGTATGTAAAGTTCCATCCGGTCACAGCTGGCTGTGTGTGTGTGTGTGTAAAGTTCCATCCGGTCACAGCTGGCTTATGGTGACCCTACAGGGTTTTCAAGGTAAGGTATGTTCAGAGGTGGTTTGATATTGCCTGTTTTTGCAGAGTGACTTCCTTGGTGGTCTCCTATCCAAGTGCTAACCCCGGGGGCCAAACCTGCTTAGCTGTGAGATCTGCCTGGGCCATAGTGGATGAGCCTGGGCCATAGTGTGCACACAGTATCACAAATTTTGTGTTCTGGCTGGAAAAAAATGTGCATGTAGCCAATGCACTTTGTCTTGTGCATCTTCTGTAACATCTGATGTGAGGACTGGAGCATCTCTCCCTTCAGGGAAGTGCAGAAGCGGTACCTGCATCTTGAGCAAAAGGTCGTGACTGAGGAGAAGGGAGGAGTCCCTCCTTCAGACTTCATATCAGGAGTCAAAAGCAGGAGTGCGAGAGGCAGTCACAACTCCCGTCCCCCAGCATGCTGAGCGTGTGAAGTGGGTCCTGATTTATGGCAGGTAATAGCAAACCCCTGCATTTGCTCCTTATGTCAATCACCCTTTCTCTTCTACCATTGTACTTTTAAAATGCTAGTCGTTTGGACAGCCGGAATATGAAGAGGTTGTGCATCACAAAGATCCGCAGGGCAGACCACCCCCACCCCCCATCCATACAGCTTATGGTGGCACAGTTGCCCTCGACTGAAGGCAGTCCGGTCTGGGACTAAAAGTACATTGACCAGCTTATAGGCAGTATCCTTAACTATTTATTTATTTATTGGGTTTTTACCCCGCCCTCCCAGCCTTTTCTTCTTTAGCATTCCAGTCCCCTGTGATGATCAGGGCATCTTTTTCTTGGTGCTAGTTCTGGGGAGGTGCAAAGAACAATGCTTACCAGTTCCTACAGAGTGCTATTTTTACGCACCTCATCATGAGGACTTCAGAGGAGAGAGAACAAAGGAAATGCACAGATAAAAATCAGTGTCCCAGGTACAGTTCAAAGGAAGGGACAGAGAAGAGCACCCAAGGCCTTTCTTTTAAGAAAAGGGAGCAAGGCCACTTCAGAAAGAGGGACTGTGGAGCAGGGAGGCAGGAGGAGGGTCTTAGGTGTGGTGAAGGGAGCCAGTGCCACACGCAGGGGCTAGAGCAGACGAGGAGAACCGGGTTCAAATCCCTTTTCTGCCATGGAAGCTTGCTGGATGACCTTGGGCTGGTCACATCCTCTCTGTTTAACCTACCTCACAGGGTTGTTATGAGGATAAAATGGAGGACAGGAGAACATTTAAGCTGCTCTGGATTCCCATTGGGGAGAAAGGCGAGCTATGAATGAAGTAAACAAATAAATTAACCCTTTGCTAGCATTTCCCCATTTCAAATCGGTTCTCAGAGAGGCTTCGTTCCCCATTTCCACCCCAGGTTCAGAACACATGTTTGTTCATTGAATTGCACCCTTCAAAAATATTACTTTGGGCAATTTTTCATGTTTTGTAAAAATTCAGTTTTCAAATCCTTTGTATTGATGGTTGTTGGGGAACTAGGTTGATTTTTGCATTGTAAATCCTGGTGGTAAGCGCAGTATTTTACTACTTGGTGCTTTGTTTTTGGCAGAGATCCCACCTTGTCAAAGGGAAGGCATTAAAGCAGTTATCTGTGCAGAATCTCAACTTTGTTGTTTATTAAATGATAGAAAAGTTGCTTTAATTTCTCTGAAAGCCACAGGAGGGTAACAGTGAGCCACTAATAGTAACTTTTTATTGCATGCTGAATAATGGACATTTTAAAACAACCCAGACATCATGTGTGCTGAATGAACAGAGGTGAAATTGCAGGTTTTTATGTGCTTCTAGTAATGCCTTTTAAACACAGAAGTGATGACAGAAAAGTCCAGGGCAGGAGGGACTAGGAAGTTTAAGACAGCTCCACTTTCATTGCATTGGCAAAATTAGTTTCATAGGTGAGGCTCTGTACGTCAAAAATGGAAGAATAATAATAAAAATAAAAATAACAACTATTAATATTAATACTACTACTAATAATAATGGCAACAATAACAACAATAAAATAACAACAATAAAAATGGGCCATGCTGGACCATCATTTTAAACATCCTGCCTCTGCTATTTTGAGCTTTGAGGGGGGGAGGCCTTGGTACCTTCCCAGGCATCTTCCAATTCCCTCTGTTGGGAGGACTGATGACTGGCTGGCTTAACTCATTGGACAAGTTGCCAGTGTCCTGCCTGCAGTCAGGAGTAAGGCCCCCACAGAGCCCAGCAGTTTCATGTAGATGTTAAACAGCGCAGTAAAGGGGGGAGGGAATGGGCCAGCCACCCAGCTCCAGTTCGGCTTGACAGTCCAGGATTCCATGACTGATGGTTGTCAGACTCAGGCATCTGGCATCGAGGCAGACTGGTTGAATTGGTTGCATTGTCCATCCTTGATTTACCCTGCTTGTATTCTGTATTTTTACTACTGCCCTTGCCTGCCATTGAATCTCTTGTGGGGGAGGGGAGTGTGTAGTTTGTTAGGGAGGCTTGCTTGGTAATTTTCCTAAGGGGCCCCAAGACATTTTTCATACAAGAAATGTCCTCGGAGAAGACTGTGCCTGGCTAGATAGTGACTGTATATCTTTCAGAGTCACTGTAGTAATGTTGATGTAGGTGTGCGTGGAATTTTGGGGTTTTACCTATATCTTGTATTTCCCGCCTTCGCAATTTAGTCCTAAAAAAGAGCTTGAACCCACAGCATCTCATATCTCTAAATAAAGCATTCACTGCCAAAGTGTGTGTGGAGAGTGATTTGACTGGGAACCTGACAATGGTATTTGAAAGCCTCCAAGAGGTCCAGCGAGCCAGCTGAGATGCTCCACCTCCCCATCAATCTACCACTCTAGGTCATCCGCTAGGGCAGGGGTGGCCAAACTTGCTTAACATAAGAGCCACACAGAATAAATTTCAGAGCTGCAAGACTTGAACAAATATCACACACACATTTTTATTGAAAAATACGTACATTTGCTTTGTATTAACATTAAATGAAACTGCCAAAAATAAAAACAAAAGGGGTAAAAACAGATATTGATAATGATATTTATTTGTCCAATTATATTTATTTTCCTGAGAGACAAAGAGAGGGAGAGGTGGAAAGAAAGAATGAAAGAGGTGAAAAGAGAGCGAGCGAAACAAAGCAAATAGATGGGGGAGGGAGGGGGAAGGAAGGGAGAGAGAAATAAAGTAAGGAAGGGAGGAAGAGAGAAAAAGAGAAAGAAAGCAAATAGGTGGGGAAGGAAGAGGGAGGGAGGAAGAGAGAGATAGAAAGAGAAAGAAAGCAAATAGATGGGGAGAGAAGGAAGGAAGAGACAAAGGTAGGAAGAATGAAAGAGGTGGAAAGAAAGGTGAGAGAAAGAGAGAGAAACAGAAACAAAGAAAGCAAAATAGATGGGGGGACGGAGGAGGAGAGAGAGAAAGAGACAAAAAAGCAAATAGATGTGGTGGGGGAGGAAGGAAGGAAGAGAGAGGTGGAATGAAAGCAAATAGATGGAGGGAGGAAGGAAAGGGGAAAAGAGAGAGAAAGGTGGAAAGAAAGCAAATAAATGGGGAGGGAGGAAGAGGTGGAAAGAAACCAACTGTATACGTGTTTAAAAAAAACAAATGCCTTCTCCAAGCCAGCGGGGAAGGGCAAGGCCAACTTTTAATGTGTTCTCCAAACCCCTCAACCCTGCTGCAACACTGGCTTGTCTTGAATAAGGGATTTAAAGAAACAGATGCCTTCTCCGAGCCAAGCCAGCCAGCCAGCCAGCGTGACAGTGTGGCAGGGCTTGGAGAACACATTTAACTTTAGATGGGGAGGGAGGGGAGAAGAAAAAGAGAGAGAGAGAGAGAGGGGGAAAGAAAGAAAGTGGAAAGAAAGTGAACAGATGGGGAGGTGGAAAGAAAACACTTTTAACTTTAAATGCATCCTCCAAGCCCCCCACGCCAGCTGGCTTGGGTCAGAGAAGGGATTTAAAGAGACAAATGCCTTCTCCAAGCCGGCCAGCGCACGGAGGGGCTTCGAGAATGCATTTAAAGTTAAAGTTGCTTTCTTTCTGTGTTCCCACCCATCTCAAGCCTACCCAGGGAGGGGAACACTGGCTGGGGAAGGGAAGACTGATTGGGGAGGCATACCTCCCCTTTGCTTCCCCAGCCGCCCTGCTGGGAGCTGCACAATATGTCCAAAAGATCTGCATGCGGCTCCTAGGGTGATCGAGGCAGTCTCTGGCTGACTCTGGGTCCGCATGTGATAGTCTGTGAATTGTGTATACTTTTTGATGCCCAAGATGAAGTACTTTCCCCTCCCCCTCCTTCTCTGGAATGTTACTTTGCAGTGTTGTTATCATCCATCCTTTTGGATCCAATCATATTTGTTCTATAGTGAAATCTTATAAATCGGGCATGAGGAGTTATCTTCTTTCCACCATTTGCCACATTTTTGCCTCCACAGATAACTATTGAGCGAGACAGTGGCTTGGATGTTACTTCTCCAAAGCAAGGGAAGATTGATCCAGACAATACTCCTCATGTTGGTGGAAACACCTGGGCTGGTGGGACAGGTAAGGATCGTGGTGTGCATCTGTCCCCCAAGGGTGTCTCAGGGGCCACCTCAGAATTGTTTCAGAACTGTAGCTCCTTAGGGACCAGTGAGGGAGCTCTTTGACTCTTGCTGCCCTGAGCCCGTTCGCGGGGAGGGCGGGTTATAAATTTAAGTAAATGAAGAAAAGCTTATGCCCTGAAAATCCTGTTGGTCTCTCAGGTGTTACAGGACTCAGGATTGTTGTGAGAGACGGGGCTGATAAGGGTACCCCATGTTGTGCTGAATATGTTGCATGTTGTCCCCACGAGTGGAAGGTGTATTCCTGCCTGTTTGGAGGGCTTGTTCTCGTGGGACTGTGATGGCAGCAGGACTCTGTGCTGCTTGTGATCATGATTATATTTACTTTAACAGCAGCTTTCCCCTTCCAGTAGCCCAATGCTTACTATTTGTAAAGAATTTAATTTCTTCAAAGTAAACAATTTGTAAAGTAAATACAAAGTAAATATTTGTAAAGGATTTGCTTTCTTCTGAACATATATGTATATTTTTATATTAGGACATTCCTGGCTGTGGTCACACGGCAAGCCTACCACGGTTTGTTCCCGCTGTATTTCTTTTTGGGTTGGGATGACCACACATCCCTCCCTGAACCGCCTGCATCGCGCAGCGAGGCTCCGGGCACCGTTCAGACAGCCACACCACCGCTTGGGCGGCACAGCTTGGTTTTAAAAAAAAAAATTGGCTTTGCGCATGTGCAAAGACACATGGTCGAATCACCACTCCCACTGGGACTCGCCGAACTCCCTTGTTCTTGCAGGCCCCCCCCCCCAGCAAACAAAATTAACTGGCGATGCACAACTGAGCGCTGGAGTCTATATGTGTGATTGAATGTTTATACATTGAATTTATTCAGCACAGGATTGCTCATGCATACAACGACATAAGCTTGTAAAAAAAAATTGCAAGAAGGACGTTCAGATGACCTAATTGCAATCATTGAAGAAATAGCTGTCCCGATCAGCAAAATCGTGGATTCAAAGCGCAAATATCCAGAAAGTACTTGATTTTCTGGGTGTAGAAAACTCGCTAGGGAAGGTGGAGGATTGCGCGAGTGAGCCCACTTTGGTGTGGGAGACGGATGCGGCTGTCTGATCGGCAAATTTAAATGCGAGAAGGAACAGCGGTGAAACCTAATCAAAATGACCGTCTGACCACAGCCCCGTCTTCCTTGATGCCTTAAAAGTTGTTACTTTCTGATAAGTCAAAATGGCACTTCCAAGTGCCTAAAAGGCTATGTCCCTATGAATTACTAATTTTCTACATGGCCTCCAGCTGTCCATATTTGGGTGCAAGCTGATCTAGGATTCCAAATGCATTTACAGTCTTTACGCAGAGAGTTGTTCAAACGTAGAATTTGCTGCCAGAGGATATAGTGATGGCCACAGGAAGAAACAGCTTGAAAAGGGGTTTAGATAGATTAATGGAGGATAAGTCTGTCAGTGGCTACTACCCATGGGGGCTGAAGGAAACCTCCACATTAGTGCCTCCACAGAGGCACTAATCCTCTGAATCCCAGAGCCAGGAGGCAACCTCGGGGGAAGGCCTCGGCCTCTCTCTGCCCTGTTGTTGGCTGTCCAGAAGAACTGGCTGGCCCCTGTGTGAGACACAATGCTGGACTAGATGGACTATTGGTCTGACCCAGCAGGGCTCTTCTTATGTTCTTGTATTCTTGCAAGCTTGTGGATGAGTCTGTAAGACAACTGGGAAATCCACTGCCATCAGACCTTGAAGCATAACTGTGGTGGAAGTGGAAACTTTGTGGTCTACAACCTGCCATAGCTAATGTGATTTTGGATGGAAATTTGTCTGGGCGTCTTTGTTGGATTAGATGTTTCCTTTATGGTACAAAGTGCCATCAAGTAATAGTTGACTTAAGAACATAAGAACATAAGAGACGCCAATGTTGGATCAGGCCAAAGGCCCATCTTGTCCAACACTCTGTCACACAGTGGCCAAAAATACCAGATGCCATCAGGAGGTCCACCAGTGGGGCCTGGACACCAGAAGCCCTCCCACTGTTGACCCCCCCCAAAGCACCAAGATGACAGAGCATCACTTGCCCAAGAGCCCCTATCTATACCTTCTGGCTAATAGCCACTGATGGACCTCTGCTCCATATGCTTATCTAATTCCCTTTTGAAGCCGTCCATGCTTGTAGCCGCCACCACTTCCTGTGGCAGTGAATTCCATGTGAATTCCACTTATGACGACCCTGTAAAGTTTTCAAGGTGAGAGATGTTCAGAGGCAGTTTGCCACTGCCTGCCTCTGCATAGTGACCCTGGACTTCCTTGGTGGTCTCATAGAATCATAGAATGTTAGAGTTGGAAGGGACCTTGCAGGTCATCTAGTCCAACCCCCTGCACTCTGCAGGAGCATAGCTGAAAGATAAGCCCTACAACATACCCGGAAGAGGGTCGTCCAGCCTCCCATCCAAGTACTAACCTGGGCCAACCCTACTTAGCTTCCAAGATCTGATGAGATAGGCCTGGCCTGGGCCAGATGTCTCCTTACTGACTGCATATTGCATCTGTTGATTACATGTTGTCCAAAAGATAGTTAAGACATCTCAAAGAGATGTGGCTTCAAGAGTGCTTGTCACAAGGGCCCAGTTAAAAGTCTCTGAACGTTAGAATCAGTCAGAATAGATGGACCCCTCCCATCAAAAAAAGAACCATTCATTCATCTTCTTCTCCACATAAAAAACTTAACCATAATGTGTCACAAATAAGGAGCAGTGCACTCAGGTAAGATGTCTGTCTGTGGCTCTGAAGAAGAGGCAAGAAAAGTAAAGAGTCTTCAGATCAACCAGTAGTTATCGCACAGGTTAGGCTGGCTTTGGGGTATCTTTGAGATCTGCAACAATATTTGTGTGGACAGCCTACTGTTCTCTGATGCCCAGTAATCCATTTCCAAATGCACAGACCCTACTTTGAATCTCAAATCCAAACATTTTTTTCCCCTCCTGATTCTCTTCCAGGCGGGAGAGATACTGCTGGACTGGGGGGGAAAGGGGGGCCATACCGGCTGGATGCTGGCCACAAGGTTTACCAAGTGTCTCAGGCAGAGAAAGATGCTGTGCCGGAAGAAGTGAAGAGAGCTGCCAGAGAGATGGGCGAAAAGGCTTTTAAGCAGAGGTTAGCAGCCACAGAATCATAGAGTCGGAAGGGACCTCCAGGGTCATCTAGTCCAACCCCCTGCACAATGCAGGAAATTCACAAATACCTCCCTCTCCCCACCCCCAGTGACCCCTGTTCCATGCCCAGAAGACGACAAAAAAACCCCTCCAGGATCTCCAGCCAAACTGGCCTGGAGAAAAATCGCTTCCTGACCCCAAAGTGGCAATCAGCATTTCCCTGGGCACATAACAAAAGGCCACAAGAACTAAGCACTGAGGCAACCCTTCCTGCCCTCCCTCTCATATGATCTGCCTACATTCACAGAATCAGCACTGGTGTCTGATGGCCATCCAGCCTCTGCTTGAAAACCCCCCAAGAAGGAAGCCTGTTTCACTGAGGAACCCTTCTAACTGTCAGGAAGTTATTCCTAATGTTTAGCCAAAAACTCTTCTGATTTAATTTCAACCTGTTGGTTTGGGTCTGACCTTCTGGGGCAACAGAAAGCAACTCCACACCATCCTCTCTAGGACAGCCCTTCAAGTCCTTGAAGATGGTGATCATAGCACCTCTCAGTCATCAGGCTAAACATACCCAGCTCCTTCAACCCTACCCCTGACCCTCCTCTGGACACGTTCCAGCCTGTCTATATCCTTCTTAAATTGTGGAGCCCAAAACTGAACACGGCACTCGAGGGTGAGGTCTGTCCAGACCAGGGTCAAGTGGTGCCATCCCTTTGCGTGATCTGTCGCTACAGCTCAAGTTTGCCTTTTTAGCAACTGCATCACACTGCTGACTCACATTCAGTGTACAGTCTATAGTTCCATTCCCGGAACTGCCACATTTTTAAGAATGAAATTCCACATCTAACTTCTGTCCTTTAAGATCATAGAATCATAGAGTTGAAAGGGACCTCCAGGGTCATCTAGTCCAACCCCCTGCACAAGGCAGGCAATTCACAAAATACCTCCCCCTCCACACCCGCAGTGACCGCTGTCCCATGCCCAGAAGATGGCAAAAAACATCCAGGGTGTGGCTTCCTGACCCCAGAGTGGCCGTCAGCATTTCCCTGGGGGTGTAAGAAAGGGCCAACAAGAACTAAGCACGGAGGCAACCCTCAGTTCCAGGATGGTTTCATTCAGCCTTGAAAGGCAGAATAGCTGCTTTCCAAAAGAACAGGAAGAGGTTTGCTGAGATTGAAATCCCCTGAGAATGACCACTCTCATCAGTTAAGCTACTGGGTCTGTTGTATTCTGCAGTGTGTAGTTTGTCTGTCCGGAATCTTTTCAACCTGCACAAATGCCTCTTCTTTTTTCTGTTTCAGGCTAAAGGAGATCAAGATGAGTGAATATGACGCGGCTACATATGAGAGGTTCTCTGGGGCAGTTCGACGGCAAGTTCGGTTACTCCGAGTCATCCTGGACAGCCTACAGGTAGTGCTCTTGGCTTTTGGGACTACCGGGGGGGGGGCCTCCCCGCTTTCCCTGGCAGAGTCTCCACCCCCTTCACATCCACCCTTCTGTGAAAAATACGTATCACCCAAAAATGCACACCTGTACTTTATATGCAGAACAATAGGTGGAATCCAACTGAATATAAAAATAGATCCATTAAATAGCTTGGATTTGGATTGGGGTTTGACTTACAAAGATGAATCTGTTCTGTGACCGCACTGCAGCCGTTGGAACAGTGACTTCGGGCTGGAAGTTTGACAGGCCCCCAGTTTATAGTGCCCATGTAACTTTGGAATTTACAGTCTTGGGGAAGGTAAAAGCTGTACATAGTCAGACATATAGGTTGGACTTCAGGAAACCAAATTTTGGTAAACTTAAAGTTACACTGGGTAGGATCCCAGGGTCAGAAATACTTAAGGAGAAGGGAGTTCATGTGGGGTGGGAGTTTCTTCAAAGTGAAATACTGAAGGCACAATCACAAACGATTCCTATGAGAAGGAAAAATGGAAGGAGCCTAAAGAAGCCAAGGTGGCTCCATAAACAGCTTTCTAAGGACTTGAGAAATAAAAAAGACTCATTCAGAAAGTGGAAGGAGGGCCTTATAACCAAGGATGAATACAAACAAATAACCAGCGCTTGTAGAGAGAAAGAGAGGAAAGCTAAAGCTCAGTAATGTTGAATCTCCAATGACTCCAAAATAAATCCACATTTAAAGGTTAAAGCAAGATTTATTCCAAAGCGTTTGAAAGAAGCAGGAACAAGGGAATTGTTAGGAATGGGCTCATGCCCCAGAGGGTAACATAATAAAGGAACTTTGAACTAAGTTATAACCAATAGATCCCTTTCCCGCCGGCGCGAATAAGGAAGACACTGACAGGTAATTACATGGGAATGTAACGGTTTGCCTTTCTCAAAACAGACCCTTAGTTCACAGGCGAAAGACACTACTAACGAGCAAGCAGATAACAGAGTTTCACTTTCCCCCACCAGCTGGATAACCTTGAGCTGTTCCAGGCACCTACAATATAAGAATGTGAAAAATAACAGAGAAGGGCAAGGGGGGAATGGAGTACACTCAGGGAACCAGAACCCTTAATGGCAGCTTGCTGACATACTGCCCTCCCGAAAATACCACTTACTCCACTTCTCCCGGAATCTCCCGGAATCTCCCGGTTTGTCAGGGAAACGTTTATGAAACTGACGTAGCAGATAAGGGGCCCGAATATCCCCTTCTTCCACCCATTCCCGGTGCTGGGGACCAAAATCCACCCACTCAATGAGATACCAACGTTTTCCCCGTTTCACTTTACAGTCCAAGATATCTGCAATTTCAAAATGTTCCTCCCCTTCGAGTAAAATAGGAGGAGGAGGAGTTTTTTCCGGTCGCCATTCAGA